AAGTGGGTGGCGCACAGGACGGCGCGCAAATATAAAAGATAAAAAACGCACGAAAAATGTTCTTATTTTCTCATGCACATATACATGGGTAACCTTATGTCCAATTATGACGATGAATCATTCGAAGTATTAATTTCTTTGAAATTTTCATCCTGAAATTTAATAGCCCAAAGGGGGTGATAGCGGTAGGTGGGGGATGTCATGCTTTTTGATTCATAGTCCAGGAAGTAGCAGCCTAGGTTAGGATTAGAAGAACCGCAGCCTTTATTGTTTTGATGCGTCAAGTCACGCTTTACCTGTACTTTTGTACGAAACAGACAAACCCCAAGTTCCCGCGCTTAAGGCAAATATCCATCCACTGGCTCTTTTACATCAACTAGTAAAAGTAATGTTTAGTCAAAAGGGGCGAAAAGGTTTCCTAGATTTCAGGATAAAGAAATAAAAACAAATACTAATACACAAGCTCATCTTTACAGGATTTCATATTCGCCACAATTTGCAGGTTATAATCATACAAAATGTCATCCAAGGTTTCGGTCTCTTCACTTGACTTTGGCCACAAAGCTACAATTATTAAAATGAGTAACAGTAAAACAAAATAATCGAAATTTTAGGGAACGTCCCAACGTTAATAACTACTGATTAGAGAAAGACACATCGTCACAAAAAAAATGCCCAGATTTGTCCTCTTTTCAGGGGCAACGCGCAGGTGTTTGTTAAGACGGATACGTGAGTCGAGGGTGGTGTCATAATTATAGTGTCTTATTTCCAAGATGTACATATGTCCAATGGCATCGTTGGGACCAAAATGACAATATCTAGACCACTATGGTGACAATCAGAGAGAGAGAGACGGAACCATTATGATGCGCACGTTTCTGGTTACGGTATTGCAAATGCCAGATTTTGACATTTGAATGTTTGTCAAATTTTAGTCACAACATTGATATTTGCCAAAGTTCCGGGAATGACGACCGCAGGCGAGACTGTTTCAACACGCTGTATAGTCGTCTACCGCCCTAAGGGATCAACGCCCTGCAACGGTTTTTTACACTGAACGCACTTTAAACAATTTACAGCCGAGACAAATTAAACATGAAATGGTTTAAATTACGTCATCAACTGACTTGATTATATTGGTTCTACTAACTAAGCGATATTGACATTTGATTGATTTAGATCTGTTACTTATAATTTTTGTAAACCTGTATTAGAATTATGGATGTAAAAAGGCTATGTCGTTTTTTTTAACTTTCCCCATGCTCCTTAAACCAAAACGATATTACAAAACCGAAAATAACAGACTTAAGCATCAGAAAAAAAGGGATCAACGGGTTAATACTCAATATTACAAACAAAAAAGAAAGATGCAAAATCGCCCAAATCCAAGGCACAATACGATGGGTTAGGCTTCGCTGAAAGGGTTTGCTCTCCATGCTAATGCACATAGTTTCGAAAAAGTCAGTAAAGAATAATCATATACATTTTACTGTCTCAAACTGAACCAAACCTCAAATGTTTACTAGAATCCGCAAAGTAAACACACGTACACTAATATATGTTTTATTTAGTTAATTGAGGTCACTCGTGCAGACAAACTGTAGATTACAAACCGTAAACGTTTTTAAAATAAGTACGTAATACTTGTGATCGATGATCTTTGGCATTGCTTGATTTTTAGTCTTGGTATTTGTCAACTCGTATAAAAAGATTGAACATTAACCTATTGTGCATTCTTTTTATGAGTTTATCCATTATATTTGATCAATGATTCGTTATTTTTCTTAATGTTTGGTGTAGTTTTGATTGATACAACTATAGCGTGTGTAAGGTAAAATCTGTCGCTTATGCCTTCATCTTTGCTGCATCCTTGAGAGACGTAAAATGTATGTGTATAATAGCGCGGATTAAAAACATTATCTTCTGAAATCCGTGGAAGAATTAATAGATTCCAGCAATGTGACTCACGCAATTAATCATTATGTCCTGCGCTGACACACTAAGGACTCGTTTGGTTAGTTTGTTAACCGAGTCGATGAACTGAAAACAAAATGTCAATTTATTTACTTATTTGTCTCGTAAGGGATGTCGGGTGATTCAGGGTGCATAGCTTGCCATCGAAGAGAAACACTTTTTGACGTGGTCAAACGCGCATTTACACGAGAAATAATAGAAATTTTTTGGCGATTTCAAGAAATAATTGAGGACATGGCGTCCTCTCCCTTGCGTTTACAAAATACTGGATCCGTTCGTGACAAACTTAACATAACTGGCGACTCATCCACACTTGTCATGGCTTGTCTTGGTCTGATGGCAAAGCGTTTGTATAAAGTGGATCGTCTGCGTGGTTCAGTTTGTGGCATGTTGACGTCACAATACCCGTATTTTGCAGTGCAGCGTTTTTAATTACTTGGCAGAACTCATCACAGAGAAGATGCTTCCAAATGAATTGATAAACGAAATAGATAAATAGATATGAATATATACATGCAAAAAATCAATATAAATCTCTCTCTCTCTCTCTCTCTCTCCACAGTCAAAAAGGTGAACAGTTTGACAGTGAGCTGAACAAAGAATAGACCGCCTTCAGCAATGACAAAAAATCCCGTGTCTTCTTTTAAGTTAAACGAAGTTTAAAAAATACATGCTTCAATGCTACAATGTGTTATGGAATATGTGTTTCTCACGGTCAATGTTAAGTATTGCTATCTTACTTCNCTCTCTCTCTCTCCACAGCCAAAAAGGGGAAAAGTTTGACAGTGAGGTGAACAATGAATAGACCCTCTCAGGCAATAACGAAAAAATCCGTGTCTTCTTTAAAGTTAAACGAAGTTTAAAAAATTCATGCTTCAACCTACAATACGTGTGATGGAATATGTGTTTCTCTCGGTCAATGTAAAGTGTTGTTGGCTGTTTTCTTATGTCAGGGTCCAAAAATATCAATTTATCAATATCGTATTTTGAAAATTATTTTAATACTTACTCTTTAAATTTCAGTTTGGAGTGTATTCTTTATATTATAATATATTATGATGGCATTCATCTGATTTAAAAACTGTCATATTTGTCGCAAATGACTAATATTAATGATAATTTTTTCTGCCATTATCGTTTCCCGAAATAAAATTTTAAAAAAATGGAGAGATATCAGTGTCTGGATTTTGTTTCACAGTCTCATGTCTTTCTTTGTCACGCGTGGAGTGCAGAAACTGAGCCGTTTTAATAAAACCAGTCATGGAAGGTTCTGTGCATATAGGTGCACGACAAAAATATTTTTTCCGTTCATAACAATGGTACCTTTGGGCGTATTCCCAGAGCTTTTAGATCGATCTATCCCCGCGGGGAGTCTCACTAGATTACTGTCAGATAATCCGGCTTAAATGTCCGTCCCGCCTACTACAAGCTGTAAGGGGGTAATTAACTTTCGTGTCCGCTCGGCTGACAGCTATTTAGCGTGAACCCCCAGGGAGTTAGGTCGATCTAAAGTAGATCGATCTAATCTCTGGGAATGGGGTCTTTGACTGCAGTTTTTGTTTTTGCATATGATCATAGCTCAGAGCCTCTTTCATCCGTTTTAATAAATGTAAAATGGTATAATTAATATCAGAAACATTGTCTGTTATTTGTTTCTTGCGTTATAGAACTCTTTTGTCGTCTTAACACTTTGACCGGGTCTGCATATATATAATCTCTTTCTCTCTTCGAATCATTTTTAAATAAAACAACAATGTAGTGGCTAACGGATCACATATACCAAGTAATCGGAATATTAATCAACAGTCACCGTATCTACTTGTATTTTCCCCTATGAAGTCGGTGTTTTATTTTCCTGGGCCTAACTAAAAAATGACACCTTCATCGTAGCTTAACCGACTTCATCATCCGCTGTAACCCGACACGGCAGAGCTCCTTGCGACACCTGCATGCCAGGAATGCCTGGCTCTCGATAACGCCGGGCAAATGGCGTTTTAATTTCCTTTTTACCCGGGGAAACCGGTCGGGCAGATAGATAGATGTTCGAACCGAAATGAAATGCACTGGTTGAAAATGACAAGGTGAAATTTACAGTGTGAAATGAACAGGTGAACATGCCGCGTGGAAAGCACGTGAGAAGTTTATATTATCAAAGTAAACCGAACAGATTGGGAGAGGGGGGAAGTAAAACAAAGTGTGGAGATTGTGGAGGAAAGAGATCGAATGGGATGAGATACTGAGCTGAAATGAAATGAATTAAAAGATACAAAAAGCTGTGACTTATGCATTAGTGTGAACGTATATAAGTCACCGAAAGGAAATATAAAGTCGTAACCGGCAAGAGACCACATCAACCATGTATGCAAATGAAGCGAGAGAGAAAGAGAGAGCGAGAAAGAGAGAGAGAGAGAGAGAAAGAGAGAGAAAATGTGTGTGTGTATGTGTGTGTGTGTTTGTGTGCATGTTTGAGGATGGGGTTTGGTTGTCGAAACCAGCATCCAAACATGACACCTTGTTATGTCAAGCAATATAAACACGTTTGCAATAATACCTGATGAAATGAACAAATCGAAATTGACAAGTTGGAAATTAACAAGGCTGAAATGAGCATGATGTATGGTTTCTGTCCCAGAGGACAGATCAAAAACACGTGCTTCACTCTCTCTCTCTCTCTCTCGATCTCTCTGATTTAATGGCAGGTTATAGATTGAGATAGAACTATGAACGAACGCAGTTAATGTTTCTAGCGAAGCGGCGCTCTTCTGTCTCGGAGTCCACAAAGCTGGTGGTTAGGCCTACCAGACAAATATAAAATGCAAAACCAAAATCTTTGCAAATTGTTTGATTTCAAGACATAATTTCGGACTGTTACTAAAAATGTTCGGCTCCTCTAAGGAGGGAAGAAAGAGCACCGAATCGACATCATAAATATCTAGAATTTGCAGGGTCCCTATGTCAGTTATATTGATAGCTGTAAATGGTGATTTAAAGAAGTGCAATGTCAAAAGAATAGATATACTTGCCATAATGGTGCCATTGTACGAATATCCATTTGCCTTGTGGTTTACTTCTGTGTAACTTTTAGTCATCACTTCATGATTCTACAGGCAGTTTTCTCCCACTCTGTCCGTATTGATGTGCTTGCCTGAAATACAAAAAAAAAAAGAAAAAGTAAAAACTTGTTGTACTTTCCCATCACACTAGAAAAAATATTTTCAATGTATAATGTGAAACCAGTCTGATGTTTTTCTTAAATATCAGAGCCTGTGTTACAGATATAACTTACACTCACAGTAATTAGAATAACTCCAAAAGAAATATCTTGTTTGATAATTATTTGTTAAATTATATGCAACTTTTATCCCAGCCGACAAATTTCAATAAAAACTATCTGGCAGATAGATAGATAGATAGATAGATAGATAGATAGATAGATAGATAGACATCTGGGAAGGGAAGATAAGAAATTCAGTCAATTTGGACTAAAAAAAGGCTACCACATGGAAGCCAGAGCAGTCCGGGCGGAAAATACTTATATTAATGTTTTGTATTGGTGAAGCGTTGCCTAAGCAACAGCTACGTTGTGCTAATTCAACCTTAAGCTGGCGAACGCTTACATCTCCTGTTTACGGGCTGTCCCATTAAATACCTGTCTTCTTCACTTACGACAATTAACTTAACGGTGATAGTCTGTTCAGGGCAATACTGCAAGAGTCATTTAAATTTGCTACTCCGTGTCGGTGACAGCTGTGGGGGATGTTACAGCGATATTCATTGTAATTACACGACTTTGAGCGACAAGCACTGCCCAGAAGCGGTGTTTTCAAGTAACAACAACAAAAACAAAAACAGCAAAAACAACAACAACAACAATAAAAATAATAGTATCTATGGTGAAATTTCTTATTGTAAAAAGGGTGACTAAAGGGGCTATACCAGCTGAGGACTCGATACGTCATGCCTCAGGTAAACGAGTTTCATTTGTATAGAAAGATAAACCTTTTTCCTCAGTACTTATATAAAAAATAAAGTATCATGTGCAAATTATCTTGAATTAACCGCAAAAAAAGGAGAAAGAGTTTTAACAAAAGCTTAAAATGACAGCCGTGTGCGATTTTTGTGAAAGACAGTCGAAATGATGATCTCTCACGTGCGAACGAAATTATGTATTGAAATATTAACAGCAACGCCATGTGTTTTCAGATCTGCTCCGTGATCTATTGAAAAAACTTGATATTGATAATTAGATGCGATAAAATGCTTCAACTAGCAAAAGCGAAAGATCGTTGCCAGAGGCGGACTGCTCAGAAATTATCTGTAATATTATCTGTAATAAAACAATTTACAATTAGCTTTTAGACACGTACAAATGTAAGCTAGTGCTGCACGGCAATCCTGTTCGACATTACAGGAGTTGAATTGATGACTGTATACAAACTCTGCCAGCGGGCAGACGCAGTCATTCTCTGTCACGTCCAATTAATGCGGTCGCTCATCTATTGCTGTATAATTGATGGGGCGCGGTTGGCCTTTGTTTTAATTAAATGAAGACACTCGGCGAAGATCCCAGATTGTTAACGACAGGGTAATCAACGGAGCTTGCGTCAAGAGGATCGAGACCAATCATTATCTAAGTGAGATTACTGGATCAAATCAAGGCTCTTACAGCATCCAAATTAGAGAATCCAATTTACTGGAATACAAATTGATATTAAGTAAAGACAAGGCTGTTTCTAAATAAACCCAATAGCCTTAGAAGCCCTGGGCGTTCTGAGGGTTAAGAGAATTAAATCATGTACATACGGATACCTCTTTCCATGTCCGGAGTTTATTTTAATATTACTAATAAGTTATCATTTTTTTTTTATTTTTGGTCTCTGTTGAAATAAATCTTCTTATTTAATTTGTTTGACTTAATTAATTTCATTCAAAATAATTACTATAATAATACTAATGATATTAACTATTATTATTATTATTATTATTATTATTATTATTATTATTATTATTATTATTTTGTATGTCACTCTTGTTTGACAAAAGAGAGAGAGAGAGACGCAATGCTATAATATACCAATATTAATATTTTCTACATAAAATGTTCACGGTCGAGGATAAGTTCTATGGAAAATATATCAAAAACATCATGTAATAGAAAACCCCACAAAGAGGAACTGATGAGTGCATTAAACGGTCTCGGTCGGTGGCCAATTCTTTGTGTGACTCTAACATATGTCTAATTATAATTAAATGGCTTTAAATTCATGGGACGCGACAGCAGGTGAGAAAAATCAGATCTAAGTTAATTGGGTCACGCGCGAAGCAACATTGAAAATTTGTCAACCCTAGAGCACGCGCCGGGCATTGAACCGTCCTACTGCCATTAACTCTATTTGTCGTTCATTCGAAGCCACCTTCTTTAACAAAATTACTCTCTTTTAAATATTTCTATTCGGTTGAACACGCGTACCTCCTTCACTGCCCCCAACAACATTGGCCTCTAGTCAAAAGGCGAGTTCTTTAAGAATAATTTAATCTGCCTCGACCCGTTGTTTCCCTTTTGTCGTCCCATCAATGAAACCCAATGATTTTTCCATCAATATCACGACATGTTCATTCATTATAGAAAACCGCTGCTTTGCCCCAACTACCTCTTGTTGTTGATGCTTGCGACCTAGTTTTCGTAATTTTGTTTTGAATGTTACAAAATGCCTCGGATTGATCAGCTCGACCCTGCGATCGATGGAGAGTTTTGAAAGGAAGCACCTCGTAAGTCTTTGACATTGCGGGTGAAGTGAAAAGGGTGTCATGCACTGTTTAATATGTATAACGTTTGAATGGGAAACACAAATATACAACTCTTCTGTGACATACATTCATACCTGACAATACAATTTGTGAAAAACGATGCAATAATCAAAAAATTATTATCAAAAATGTTATGTTTGTCATCTACTCAAGTGGCAGTATGTCGCCGATGATTGTAGAAATTATCTGCATCATTTTTTCATCATTGAAACTGATAGAATTTGTAAAACGATCTTCCTCTTTCATTTTGGATACGTTTTGCCTCAGTGGTATCCAGTGTTTGTCAGATTATTTTAAGTTATTATTTGCCTTCATAAAAAAAAAAACAATAACTTAAAACCCGAAACAAAAATACAGAAACAATGCCTCTATTTTGCTACTTGGTGACAAATCAAAATTTTTCCTAATATATTTTTCTTTTTCAGAATTCACAAGAAATTTGAGTGCTTGATCTCAGCCCCATAACATATTTATTTACAGGAAAACATATGTTAAAGAAGAAGGAGATATTGGGGAAGAGCTTTAAATAGTACGTATCGAAGATCTTCTTGCGTCTTGAGTTAAAAAAAAGAGTGTCAGGTCTCAGAAATAAAACAGTGCACATTTTTACCCTACGTCGATGGAATGAATACAAGAGTTCACATATCACATATATCCATCCAAACATATTGTTGCTGTATAAAGTTATAGATGACAGATATCACGAGTTTGAAAGCTCGGATAGTTAACGTGTGTTTATGATCAATCACCTATAATTTTGAACAGCATATTAATTTAGCCCTGTTCTGATTATGACAATTACACATTTTAGACACAGTTAGCGCCATTAATGTTCTTTACATACGTTCAGATCATTTTGTATCCTGTGTAGGAAACCATGACCCACAGAAAATTACAGGAAAAAATAAAGCATGCTGCAAACGAAAGATACGGGCAGTAAACCATAGTGATTAAATTTCACAGCTCATAATTAATGCAAACGCCTGTCCCGTATTCTGCAACCGTTGCTCTATTTAACACGTAGAAACAGCTTGTTTTCGGGTTTTTCATTCTTTTTTCTCTTTCAGAAATACCTGGTTCAATGCCATGAACATTTAAAGAAATAATACTGTTGTTGTCAACTTGATAATACTTGTAACATCAAATACCATATTTTAAAAAATAGACGATTCCTCAAACAATTTCATTTAACGTCAAGTCTTATTAGGGGATTTTAGTATGAAAATAAATTTAAAAAACACACATACATATATGTTCTCCATTTATATTTTGTTTATATAAGTGCTCTGGTTTGATATTCTTCAAACCGTCAATTGTAAATAACTTTAACGGTGCCATTTTTTGAGACACTTGATTTTCTTTTAAAACAGACATTTAAAAAACAGGCATAATTTTCTCTTTTCATAAACCAAAAAATACATAAACAATAACAAGCTATGCTGAGCTCAGAGTCACCCACTGTGCGCTTGCCTGTATTTCTTAATTTCTTCTTCTGGGCATATGAAGTTTAAACGCTTCTACCTCGATATATCGGTTTTGATATTCGCCATGAACTAAAACAGACAAATACTACCTAAATAAGTTACATTTGCATCTAAACAACCACTTACTCGTCGACAGCAGACGATCCGGGCAGACGATCGGTGTGCCAGCACATTTTCCCGCCTTAATGGTGAAATTAGAACGCGATATAAATACGTTATGTTTTCATTAGCTGTGTAATAAAATAATAATGTTCACAAATTCCCTTTGATTCGTATTCATACTGGCTGTCAGAATAAGAGGAAACTGATAGCGCATTAACGCAAAGCTTTAAGATTAGGTTTAAACACTTTCTATTTTATCTTTTCCGTGTAATTTGATATTACAGAGGGACACGAATGAGCTGTGCCTTCTACAGTGACAAAGGTGAAGACAAAGAAACATCTTTGAAATTAATAAAGCTGAATAATTTAATAGAATGTTTGATATCTTTCAAGCCACCATTTCCCCGTTGATGAAGAAATCAAGCGGTAATGAGACCGCGTTCTTCAAATATGGAAAAACAACTCTGCTTCTGTCACCCTGCCTGCATCAATCCGTGTCTCAACAATATCATATCTAATCACACTTTATGAAAATAGAGGCGTTTGCAGAATACATTATTGATATCTCAAGTAAGCATCGAAGAAAATTCATCTCCAAGGTAACGCATCTGGTTAGTCAATCTTAAATAGCGGTGTCAATTATTACAACAACCCTCCTATTTGCTTCATTTAAAAAAAATACGTAAAAAATGTTAGAAATGAATTTCAACTAATTTGTTTGACAAAACTGAAAGTGAGTTCTTCACATGCA